TAACTAGGAGAGGGTAGTAGTAACTGGGGGAATTAATATTCACTTTTGATATGATTCAGCACTCAAGTTTTGAAGGAAGGGAGATTCTGGGAGCCATGGTGAGGTGGAAATACATCTAGACATAAAGGACATTCTGTGCAAAGACATGGAGATACAAAATGGAGTGCCATGTAAGGAGGTGGAGAGAAGCATCAAGAAAATGTTTTGTCTGAAATGCAGAATGTGTAAATGACTGAAATATGATCATTGTCTCATAGCTTGATAAACCTAGAGCTGGAAAGAATCTTAAAAGTCATCTAGTCCAACCTTTTAATTAACAGATAAGGAAACTGAGTCACAGAGACGTGAGATGATTTGTTCAAAGGCACTCAGGTAATAAAGAAGCAGAGCTGAGGTTCTAGCCAGAGAAGAGTATTGAACCAGTGTCCTCTCACTCCCATTCCAAGCATTTTTTCCCCTGTAATGCTGCATTGCTTCTTGTGAAGCACAATTCCAAATATAAAAAGCTTAGAAAGGTGATGGGGAGGGTGTCGGATTGTAAAAGACTTTAAAAGTCATTCAGAGGAGTGTATATATTATCCCAGAAACAGGAAGGAATTGATTAATTGATCATTTCTTGAATAAACTGATTGGTTTTATACACACACACACACACACACACATACAAAACCTGTTCTAAGATTATCTAAATTGGTGACAATTTTCAGTGAGTCATTTTTCAAATATATTTCAATATGCAGGGAGAAAAAAAGCCTAAAAGCCTGTTCCATTGAAGATAGGTCTGATATGTCAAAGAAAGTACATTTGGCTATGTCATATGACATCACATCATACCATATCATATCACATCAATCACATCATATGATATCACCATATCATGTTTTATAATGTCATGTCAAATTATGTATCATATCATGTCAGGTCATGTGATGCAAGGTATTGTCATGTTAGGTTATATTAGGATGTATTACATTATGATACACTACATTACTCTACCTTACTGTTCTTGACTCTACTCTACCCTACTCTACCTTATCTATCCTGTCCTATTATATCATATTGTATTATATTCCATTGTATTTCATTGCTAGAAGATTGTTTTGCCTTTTTCACATTAAGTTGTAATACACTATACCATGCCATGCCATGCCATGTCGTCCCATACAATGTTGTATATCATATTACATTATGTTATGGTATGTTATACTATGTTGGATTATTTTAAGTCATATCATATTAAGTTATACTGTCATGGTAAATTATGGAGTATTATAGTATATTATAATATTTAGTCTATATTATATTATATTATATCAATTACATTTACTATATTAAATTATATAGTTATTTTTATTATATTTTTCTCTTCTATTCTTAATGATCCTTGCTTGAATCCATGCAAAAGCATTAGTCTGATAAATCAAAAATCACCTTCACTTACTCATTACATTCACTAGAGAAATATATCTAGAATCAGGATGACTACTTCTGAATCTTACTTCTGAATTGTGTGATGAACATGGAAAAGTCATTTAAATTCTCAGGGTCTCAATTCCCTTATCTGTAAAATGAGGATAATAATATCTGATAATACCTTACCTCATATGGTAGCTGTGAGTACCAAATGAAAATGAGGAGAGAGAAGAAGAAGAAGAAGGAGGAGGAGGAGAAGGAGGAGGAGGAGGAGGAGGAGGAGGAGGAGGAGGAAAAGGAGAAGGAGAAGGAGAAGGAGAAGGAGAAGGAGAAGGAGAGGAGAGAGGGATACATATTTAGAGAGATTTTGGATGAGGTTTCTTTTTCATAAAGAGATATTTTGGGATGTGTAATGCTTGTGATGGTTAAATTCATCAATGGAAAACAATTTTTAAAAGGAATCAAGTAATGTTTTCAGTGGCTGCAGAATCATAATTTCTGAGATCATCAAAGATTTTTATATTTTTTAAACTTTGCAACCATACAATAAAGCAAAAAAAAATCATGTTTTTAACTCTTTTTAGTCTTTTTTTTTCTTTGCCTAATACAGTAGAAAGCATACTGGGTTTGTAGTCAGAGGACTTTGGTTCTAATTGTGACAATTTCTTAGGCTATCCTCAATTCTTTATCTCCAAGATAAGGGAACTGGATTGCAAAACTTCAAAAGTCTTTTCTTTATCTAAGCCTATGATCCTAAGAACCTATGTATTTAACATGATTTTTCAGTAATTACTGAGAGATTGAAAGAATTAATCAGTAGGATGTATGCTCCCTGAGGACAGGCACTATCTTGATTTTTGTCTTTGGATCCCCCAAATACAGAAGGAAATGAGATTGTCTTGTCAACACTAAAGTAGCTCATAACTGATGAAGAAAACAAAAGTAAACAATTTCAATTTGTTATTGAATAATTTTAGCTTTATTATTATAATAGAATTACAGTCTGACATAAAATAAAGAGCTTTTGCTAAACTCTGTAAAGCAATGCATGCATCTGCCATAAACAACCTCTATTAGTTTTAGGTTTTATTGCCACATCACTGCACTGAGGTGCAATAAACATTCAATGTCATCTTTAAAATTATCCCAGGAGTAAACAGGAACTGTCCTCTATAAGAGTGTACCATTATTTTCAAGGAAGACTTACTAGTATTACATGGTTTAGCAAAGCACTGTAGAAAAGCTACATAAAATATCTGGTCTTCGATAAACTGTGCAATCAATTCATACAATAAAATACTATCCACATATACTAACAAACAAAGAGGTCATATAGTGCCATCATTGCATAGCAAAAAGCAGACTACTTAAGTAATATCCATATCTATTGTGCAAAATGCAGACCAAAAGTTAGCTGTGAGTAACTTGGAGCATAAAACGCTCTAAATGAACACATTAATTTAACACCAAAAAAGAACAAGATTAAACAAGTACAGAGAAGTTAAAGAGCCATATTTTTATTGTGTGTATGTTTTTATACATATATCTACACATGATAGCAGAAGGTGAGACAAGACATCCTTGGGTCGACTTCAGATCAGCTCCCAAGTTTAAGCAGGACCAAATCTTGTGTAAGTTGAACATTCTGTATATGTGTGTGTGTGTACATATGTATATATACACATGTGTACACACACACACACACACACACTAGTAATTTGTTTTATCATTGGAGAGAAGCTTTTAGAGCAAAGACGATCAAATGTGGCCCCACATTCATGACTGATGCTGTGCTGTCTCACTGAACATTTCTGCTAAAGTTTCATGTGGTGGTATTTTAAATGCATTCAGAACATGGCCCGTAAATTCTGGATTACTGAATTTAAATATCTTCAAAACTCTTTTCAATCAAATAGAGCACTTCAAAAATACCCGCTACTTAAATGTTTATCTCTAAAACTTGTCAGCATTAATGAAACTGACTAGAATTATTTCCTAGGGAATAATAAATAGTATACCTGCAAAATGGACATTGTATACTTAAAGCCCTTACGTAGTGTTCCTACAAAGATATTGCTACAGTAAAAATGAAATGTAGTAAGTTTACTCAATCAAATCTATTTTCTGTACATTCTTTTGTGTATGATGTTTGTTTCATATTAAATGCTACATATATTACATCACTTATTGTAACAGTTATGTATCAACAAATACAGCAGTAACATACAGATGATTTTGTAGCTGGAACAATTTTTTTAAATTTTATTTTCTCTACCACACAGTAGCCTAAATTTGAATATTTCTCTATAACTGGAGCAGAGAGTAATTTCCTCACTACTCTGCATCAGGTATTTTTGAAATTGCCAGCTTTCTCTCCATCTGTATAATTCCAACCAATATCTTCATCTTTTATGGTCTTACTGATTCCTATATCCTCTTTTATATGCAGGCTCTAAATATGTTTCCACAGAAAATAACAACATATTAAGACCTAACAGAGGTGAGCCCTGCACAGTATTTTAAGAACACAACTTTAAAAAAGTAAAAAAAAATGTACAATCTCATGCCATTTATTTACATATATTAAATACTCTATTTTGTTTTTGTCTTCTATTCATAAATTTCAATCTAAAACTTTTAATATACTGTTATAGAAAATAATACATTCAACATATCTAGAGCTTGCAAAATACTTTTTTTCGCCCCCTCTTAAAACATTTTCAAGACAAGAAGCAACCTCTTTTAGGACCTGGGTTCTAGTGGGATTAGAATTTTTGGAAAGGGGAAGACTTTGCTTTTTTTTTTCATTGTATTGAGTATACTGTTGAGATGATGCCTCATCTAGACGGCTTGCTACAAACAATGACAACAAATGACAGATTGAAGCATTCATCAATGCACCTTAGAATATGAAATTTCCATGTATTTTCAAAATAGTATTTACCTCTATAACAATATGCTTGGGGGTTTAAAAATAGAATTACTGTAATAATATTCAGAACCTGGAAAATTCAAAGATCAAATCCTTCTATCATTTCAATGAACAGAAGAGTAAATATATTATATAGTCTATGCAATAAGGAAGTAAGATTTTTTTTACTTTTAAACACTTTTTTTCTTAAACCTTTTGCATAAAAATATTTTGACATATATAGTATCTCTGTTAGGGAATTTGGCAATATTATATCTACATAAAATTTGGTGAGATTATTGAGTATTTTTCATACTTCTTTCATTTTCCCTCCCTTTTTTATTCTCTCTCTCTCTCTCTCTCTCTCTCTCTCTCTCTCTCTCTCTCACTCTCACTCTTTTCCTCTCCCTCTCCTTCTCTCTCTCCTCTTTTCCATGCTTCTGTGGTTTTTTTTTTTTACTTCCTCTCTCAAAATCCAGTTTCCCAGGTACATTTACCATAAAGCTTTGGATTTAACATACAGGGTTTCTTGTTCTGTTATGATTTATTTTTAAAATGAGGAAACCTTCAGTTTCTTTAAGACAGAGGCAATGAAGCAAATGGGAATTACTATGTTGAGAACGGAAGGCAATTCCCAGTGTGGAAAGATTGAACAAGACTATGCAAGTTAAAGTGACTATTGATGTGGGTTGGGGGCTTTAAGCTGAGGCTCTCTATTTAAATAAGTAGCCCAGTAGACTAAGTTAAAGATTCCAAAAAGCAATGGGAAAGCTATTCTTGACAGTCGGTCAATTTTGCTGACACTATTAAAAGTTTTCTTGGGCTCTGGTGGTTTTGTTTCAGGTTTGACTTCTTTGGGCTCTATCGTTGCACTTTTAGCAATGGTGGCTAACCCAGGATCCCCCCGAGCGATGTTAGGGGTGTAGCTTGTTGCTGTGGCAGCATAGGTATTGTTTTTCTTAATGAGAGGATCCTTCACTTTCTTTGGCTGGAGAAAAGAGGAAAACAAGCATTTGGTTTAGTGATTTCTTTTTTATAAAATAGTATAGGCTAACCCATAAATGAGACACTAACCAGTCAGTGATTTATCTTAATATATAAGGCATACAAGTTCCAATTTCCCAGACTTTATTCAGTTTTCATGCTGATTCCAGAAAGAAAAGTAAACAACAGTTCTAGCTTTCAAAGTAATAATGACTCCAGTTAGTATTTTTATAGTATCTTGTGTCTGTTGCTTGTCTCAAAATGACTACAATCTCTGAAGAAGTGAATTTTTTTAAAAGTCATTGGACAAAAATGTTAATGAACAAAGACATGGGATCCAAAAGATGCTTAACACATTACACATGAGTAATTCTAAAGGACAAACAGCATCAAAGATGTCATTAAAAAATTTGTGAAAGAGATGATGGACTGGTCATGTGGCAAGAGCTTAACCACTACACAGTCTTTGTATTCCATAGGTATCCATGTGAGATGTCAAAAGATAGCAGAAAAAGTCCTACCCACATGACATTGGAGTGGATTTCTGTAGAGGACAGAAATACACTGTGATCTTGCACAAAAGAAGAGCAGGAATGGAAATATTGTGATCTGAATAATTTGAAGGAATGGCAGCATCAGTGAGATGTAATGTCCATTTGAGTGTTTGATTTTCTTTTATCCACACTAAAATAAGTAGCTATATATTTCTTTGTCTACCTGGATGACTTGGTTTAATTTGTCATATTTAAATGGAACCCAGCATTGTTTTCAAAGTTTCTGCCATGTTCCACAAAACAAACTATTCATAGATTTTAACAGGCAACTTGAATCTCACCTATCTCTAATTTACTTTCTCATAATGAACTCAAATGAGGATTTCTTAAATTCTAATGTTTTATCATGTTATTCATAGAGCAAGGCAAATAGCAAATTACTAAATACTTGACAACTGTCTGAAAATTTCAGTTTCCTTATTGAGAATTGTTTTGTCACTCAAAATAAGTTTTGTATCTCATTGCTTAATAAACAATTGTAGGAAGTATTATATCTTAGAGAGTCCTATGTTCATTCAAATATATATTTTAGATATGTTACTCAGTGTTGGTGGGGATACTCCGTGATCTCTGTTTTCTTTAGAGGCAGATAATTGGCTCAGTAGATAGAGCACTGGGCCTAGAATCAAGAAGATCTGAGTTCAAATTCAGCCTCACTCATTTACTAGCTGTATGACCCTGGACAAGTCAATTAAAGTCTGCCTACCTTGGAATCCTCAAGTGTAAAAGAAGAAAAAATGGGCATAATAATAAAGCCTACCTCCCTGTGTTGTTACAAGATCAAATGAGGTATTTGTAACATGCTTAGCACAGTCCCTGGCACATAGTAAGTACTTACTAAATGCTAGTTCTCGTGGCTTTTTAAAATTACATACATCAAAATTTTGGAATCTGGTTGTACTAAATACAGTGTCCTAGTTCTAACAGACTTCCTAGTCAATTAACTAAATATCTTCACTTTAATATAATATATAACTGTGTTCAAAAAGGAATCAATGAAGAATATATTTTTAGGGATACTTTAATCTTTTATAGGCAGTACTAGATTGTCATTTAAGTCTTTCCAAAAACTAAATTTTCATTTAGAGCATTTAAAAATGTAATAAGAAGAAATAATATAAACCTATGGACAGATAGTTTAACATAGTTACATGACAGATTATATTAGCTAGAACTAGACTGTTCCCAACAAAACTCACTCAGGCAAGCTGGCATTAGGCCCAAAAAGCTTATGGAAGTGTTCAAACAGGGACTGGATGAACCATCTGTCAAGCATATTGTAGGAGGAACCCTTCATTTGGAGACCACAAGGTTCTTTCCAAATCCTAAAATATCCTAACATCTTAATCCAAAATCAGACACATTCACTCATTGACAGAGGTGAATTTTTGTTTGTTTGTTTTAAAACCAAACTCTGGACTAGTCAGTCTACCTCAGAAAATAAAGGAGGAAAATCAGTTGTAGATTTAGAACAATACTATGAAGAAAGATTGTGTTTTGATGGAGATGACGTATCTGTATAAATTAGGAATATCACCTACTTTATTATTATTATTATTGTTGTTGTTGTGTTGTTGTTGTTATTGTTGTTGTTAATAATAATAATATGGAAGCCACTAGGCAACCTAAAGGCTAGAACTCTAAGTTATAAAAATTTAGCCTGATTGAACTCAGTTCAATTTCAGTTACTTATGTAACATGTTGACTTTCAACATTGAGACCAGAACAAAAATTTTCTCATTCGACCTTGTTTTCCTCTCTGCACTTCAATATTTCTCTTTTTTTTTCCCTTAGTCTATAATGCCAGGAATCATTTCAACCCCTATTTCTGCCATCCTTTAAGATCAAGGTCAATGTCACTTCCTCCCAGATGTCATCTCTGATTTTCAATACTCCATTCCCCAAGACAAAAGTGATTTCTTTTTGTCCTCTGAACTCATACCATTAATTATGTACTCATCCATTTCTACATTGAATAATATTTATTTTACTGAATCATATAATTCATAGAATCCCAGAAGTTTAGATTTGTAAAGTACTTTAGTGGCCTTCCAATGTACCACATACATGCTATAATGCTAGAACCCCCTTATAACATACTGTACCAGTGGTTATCCAATCTTTAGTTTAAGGGACCTCTGAAGTAAGAAAACCTGCCACCTCCAGAATCAATTCATTTTAGGTTTTGACAGCTCTAATTCTTATGTTTTTTTTTTCTTTTTTACTGCTATCAACCCTGAATTTGACTCTTTATAACTTATGTCAATTGTTCCTGATTCTGTCTTCTGAGACCAAAACAAGAGAAACATCCTAATTCCTCTTCCACATGATTATTTTTCAATATTTGACCATCCCCATCCTGCCCTTTTCCTCTCCCCCTGCTCCAGGCTAAAGATCATTTGAAGTTCCTTCAACTGATCTTCATATGACATATCTTACAAATGTCATATAATGTTTTATATATTTCATCTTACCTATGGAATTCATAAGATACTAGATTTAGAGTTGGAAGGGATCTTAAGTTCATCTATTCCAAATCTCTTGTTTTATAAGTGAAGACTCTGAGGATCATAGAGGTTAAGAAACTTTCCAAGGGATATATAGACTATAAAGTCCTGAAAGTCAGGGGCTATGTAAATTACTTTAGTATTTTACCTTACTACCCTACTAAATTCCCTTAGTCTTAGCACTTAAGTGTATCTACAGAGTAGATATATTAAAATATATTGATTAAATGAATGAATATACCTGAATGATGCCTACCATAACACCTAGTACATAGCAGGCATTTAAATACTTATTGATCTGACTTATTAACATGACCTCCTCAGCAAGGCTAAAAATTTTTGCCATCCTAATTGGTTGAAGGAAGTTTCTTCTGATTAACTTGCAGCCTCACAAAGAAATGACATGCTCTATAGTAACTGTTAAAGATTTTTACCTTTTCAGGAACAACACTTTTGCCATCCCAAGCATAACCTCTCTTGGTAAAATAGTTGACAGTGGCAAATTCAATCAGTGCTGAAAACACAAAGGCATAACACACTGCAATAAACCAATCCATGGCTGTGGCATAGGCCACTTTGGGAAGAGAATTTCTGGCACTGATACTCAGCGTGGTCATAGTAAGGACAGTTGTTACTCCTGGAAGGAAAAAAGAAAATGTACACAAAAAATACAAAAAAAACCCCCCATTTATAATGTTAATCTCTCAGTAGAGGGCGGTTATACACGTTTGTAGAGTGAGGACATATTTTCCCATTTATTCTATTTTGGGGGAGATAGATTTTAGGTTGAGTGAATATTGATCTAATCTTGCTTTTAGATCTGGAGTAAGAAGACCTAGGTTTAGATCCCATTTCAGGTGTTTACTTTCTCTGTGTTACTTTCTATTTGACTTTGGATAAATCACTTGCATTCTCTGGCCTCAAAGTCACTGTGGAAAGCTATGGAGATGCAGACAGAAAAATTTGATGCACGTTATGTTTTTTTTTAATTATTTATTTTATTAAAATTTCCCAATTACATTAAAAAATAATTTTAATATTTATTTTTTAAATTTTGTTCCAAATTCTCTCATGCCCCTCCTCCACCTCTTAAGAAGGTAAGCAATGTGATATCAATTATACATGTAAAGTCATCTAAAACATTTCCATATCAGACATATTGCAGAAGAATACACTCATAAAACAAGAAAAATAAGGAAAGTTCTAAAAACAAAGTATTTTTAAATCTACACTCAGCAATGTAATGATCTAAGACAATTCCAAAAGACTCATGATGGAAAATGCTATCTACATCCAGAGAAAGAACTATGCGTTGTGACTATTTTCTCTTTTTTGTTATTTTTATTGTTTGTTTGTTTTTTCTTTCTCATGGTTTTTCCCTTTTGTTCTGATTCTTCTTTCACCGTATGACTAATGTGGAAATATATTTAATATGATCATAGCTGTATACCCTATATCAGATTGCTTGCCATGTTGGGGAAAGGGGAGAGAAGGGAGGGAGAAAAATTTAGAACTCAAAATCTTATAAAAGTGAAGGTTGAAAACTAAAAATTGATTAATTTATTTATTTTTAAATGAGCTAATAAATGTTTATAGGGGTTACAGTGTTTTGGGAAAATACAATTTTTTTTTTAAATGGATGAGAATTTTATAATCTCCTACATTAAGGGGAAAATGATCTTTAACTTGTGGATTGAGACCATTGGTTAATATATTTGATAAATAAAAATCTACACTCAGGGTTTATCAATTTTCTCTCTGGAGGAGTATAGCATTTTTCATCATTGGTTCTTTGGAATTGTCTTGAATTATTGTCTTAATCAGAGTAGCTAAGTCTTTTACAATTGATCATGCTTGCAATATTGCAAAGCAGAATAGATTTTCTAGGAATTTCTAATCTGTTGTAAAATTTTCTTTTGTTGCTTATAACTCACATTATATTGGCCACAAAACTGCAATATTGAAAGCTATTTCAGGATACAGATCATGTCATGTGCTACTTTTCTAATTTCAAAAATCCTAGATAGCAAGGAGGAATAGATACTTTCTGAGTTGAATCAGTGCTAAGTATTTAATAAACACTTTTAATTACAACACATGCATTCCTCATTTAGTCTACATCATGAGAGCTGGTTCTCTTCTTTTCTGACCCTCCTCTTTTTTCCTTTCCCCATGGCCTATTTTGGAAAATACATATGGAATTGATTCCCCCTTCACCAACCCTTATTCCATATTCAAAAATGTACATGAAAAACTGATTTAATAATAATAGTTTCCATTTATGTAGTACTTTAAGGCCATACAGCTCTTTCTATAAAGTATCTCATTAATGAGAAAAGCATAGAAACTTATTCATGTCCCATTAACTTAAAACCACCTAATACTAACTACTAAGATCCCTATGTAGTAGCAGTGGTTTAAAAAAGAAAATTATTGGTTACTAGTATCTGCTGTCAGATATTAACTTATGGAAAGCAGTGGCCATAGGTAAGTCATTAAACTTTTCTGGACCTCTAGTTCCTCATCTATACAGGAAGGAGTTGGACCAGAAGACCTTGAAGGTTTATTATAGTTTTAGAGTGATGATCCTTATGATACTAGATATAGGGAATAATAACTTGGGCATCGAGACTTTCCTGAAATCCATGGAATATATTCCATATTTCCCCAACTATTTTTTTTGCATTTACATTCAATCAGTTATCTCTACTAGCTATCATGATAACTGTACTTATATAATGTAATCAATTCCTGTTGTTGTTTATGTCCACAGTGCTTAGTCTTAAAGGATGATAAGCAATTGAAAAATAATGCACTTAGATGTCATGGTTATGAACCAAGTTCTTAAACCTCCTAGGTGTCAGTGGCTCCCCTTCCCTCCACACCCTGTTTATACCCTGTATATATACATATATACATGTATATATACACATACATACATGTGTATATCTATACATACATATATAGTATGCATATATAATGCATATATACATATATATGCATGTATGTATAGACATTTATATACAAACACAAACACATGTTCATTTTATCTTTCCTTATATAATGTAAGTTCTTTGAGGTTAGGGATTATTTCATATCTGATATATAGTATATATACATGGTAATAGCACTTATTTTTTGTGGATTGACTGACTAAATATATATCCATTAGTTGATAGAAGATATAACTAACAGGCTGTTTTTTAGAATTTCTATAGTCATATTTATAATACTTAGTAATTCACTAATTTATGAGATCAAGTTTAAATTAATAATTTATATATGCAATAGATGCAAAATTTAAGGAGTTTTTGCATAGTCCATAACCCTTCAGGCAGGGCATACTTTAAAATAACATACTGAGTTCAAAGTAAAAAGATCAGAAACATATTTGCTAAGTAAATGTTAAAGGCATAAAGGTCTCAGAAAAAATTTGTATTTGGGATTTTGTTGAAGGCAAAACATTTGAAAATAATCCATCTTGGTGTTCAGAAAATCTTGACTACAGCTGGGTTTGCTATGTAGTTATATTCATCAAAAGGGCATGTATCAGTCAGGAAAAAAAAGCCTTTGGAAAGCATTATGACCAAGGCTTGCTACTTGTAAAACACTGAAAAGCTGAAGGGACTTCTCTCCAGAGAGGAGGAAACAACACCTTCACAAGTGATTTTTTTCCTCAAACTTGCCTTTACAATTTCACTCTTAAAACACACATACACACACACACTCACACACACACACACACACACACACACACACACACAAAATGTGTTTGGTGTTATGGCTTTGAAATCATTAATGAGCAAAATATCCTGATTCAATACATCTTTTAGGGGTTTGTTTTCAACTCTGATAAGCAGCTAATGTTTTAGTTACATAACAGAAGGTAACAAAGAATGTGGGTTGAAAGAAAATGCTTGAACAGCCACATAAGGTAACAATAATAGCATCCACCATTTTTAGAGATAACAGTAATAGCATCTAGCATTTTTAGATCACTTTAAAGTTTGCAAAGCATTTTGCAAATATTTTGTCTTTACTACAGCCCTTGGAGGTAGATACTACTAATATTCCCTTTTACAGATGAGGAGATACTGAAGGAGATTACTGAAGGAGACAGAAGTTAAGTGACTTGCTGAGGGTCACATAACTAATAAGTGTGAAATTGAATTTAGACACAGGTCTTTTTTACTTCACTTGTATTACTTTGGGCACTGTGGTTATGATTATTATTAGGGACCTGATTCTCCATAATGACAAGAAACTGGACACTAAAGTAGATAGGATCCTTAAAAGGATTTTCTCTTGCTTAGAATTCATGATATAGGAGAAGAGATCAGAACATATTTTAATATGCATCCAACTCCCATAGTATATGAATATGAATATTTAAAATTGAATGTTTTGGCTTTTGTTTATAATTGTGGGATCTGGGGCAATCTTATGTTTCCATTTAGATTTGTACTAAGGCCATTATTCAAGATGAATACATGGATTCAAATCACTGGACTATCAAATGTTATCTGAGTGCCCTTGGACCAGTCACTTCTGATCTCAGTTTCTTCATCTGAAAAATGATCTTCCAGTTCTAATTTTAGGATGCAAAGACTTACACTCCACTGCTTATTATTTATGTGACCTTGGGCATATCACTTCACTTAGCTATGTTCTACTTTCCTTTCCTCATGTATAAAGTGAATCTCATAATCCCTAACCTTTTATCTTCAGAGAGTTATTGTGAATACCAAATGATTTAAGTTATGTCCATTTCAGAACTGTAACTACACCAGGATATCTAGGGATTATGCCCAGTATGCCAACCTAGGAGGGTACATTTTTACCTTGGGAATTACTTCTTCTACATGGAAACTGAATCTCATTGTCCACTGTATAATGCTATCCTATACTTTAACCTGTCCCAGGGTTAACATAGCTAGGGTCTCATCATCATTGTTCCTCTATCCAAATAATTTTCTCATAACCCATTATAGAGGTATAGGGTGAACATTCTGGGAGTCAGGTTGTTATCCTTCCTGGTCCAACTGTACCTGCAGTACGCACAGGGCTGTCCTCTGCGCTACCAGTTCCTCCTGTCACACTATTTTCTGCACCACTTTTCTAAGCCCAGCTACTTTTGTCCAAAGTGGAAGAATTCCTGATGAAAATGTTTTGAAAATTGACTGCAAAGTAAAATTCAATAGTGTTTATGAGTGTTAATTTTTGAGGTTTTTTTATCATAATATCATAATGTGGAAAAATTTTTTTATGTTTAAAAATACCTAGTAATAATTATATTTCTTTGTACGGCTATAGAGATGTTATTTTGCATAATTTTCCTCTAAATATGTTTATATATGACACATTAAAATCATTTTATTATTAGAATTATGATTTACCTCTATAAGAGGACCTTATTATTTAACTGAAACTTGAGGTGATTATTTTCAAAAGTAAATGCTGCTTGGGTGATGTGAACAAATATTGTTTATCTTTCTTTGTTGTCAAATTCCTATATTTTTGCATAGTCTTTTTCTTTATTATTAAAGGCGTGCATATACTTTTGATACCAAGGTAACAACATTACTTTTTTCACTCTTTCTCTTGGTACATATGAATGAGATTTAGATATTTATCTTGCACTTACCAAACACAGTTCTTGCTGGGACTGACTCTCTGTTGAGCCAAAAAGAAACTTGGGAGAGGATAACCGTCATTATACAGGGTAAGTATGTTTGAATAACAAAGTAACCAATCTTTCTCTTCAAGTGGAAATGGGTGGTCATGACAACATATTCCCCTGGAAACCAATAAAAAGGAAATGATAAGATATGGCTTGCCCTAGAGATTTTTTTTTTTCTTCTGAGATTCACCAAACAACAGATGCCGATAGTATTAGCACACTACGAAAAATCTTGTTCACCTTGAAAGAAAACCTCTTTATGGGACAAAACAAAATTTCTAATGCCGAGACATCAAGATAGTTGATCTAATCAAAGCATTAAATTCTCTCATATAGCATGATTCAATTCTAGGCCAAATGCTTTTGAGTTTTTCAACATATTCTATCATCTACCTGGATTTAGAGCTGATAGGGAGCTTGTAGATTGCTTAACACAACTCCCTTGTTTATCGATGAGGGAACTGAATCATAGAAAGATTAACGTATTTGCCCAAAGTCACAAGGTTAAAAATAACTGAACCAAGATTCAAACCTAGATTCTATGATTACAAATTTAGTGTTCTATCCACTATACCATATGGGACTGGGGAGTGGGGTGGAGAGGTATATGTGATATATGATCACTAAGATTCCATTCAAGGTCTAAAATTTATGATTCTATAGCTCTTATCAATAGACAAATCAACTGGTTTGCATTTTAGTATAGACTGCTTTTTTTAAAATACAATTTTCAATTTCATGTTCCCAAAATTTAATTTAGTCCCCTAGAATATAGTCATCTTTCTGCGTGGAAGAAAGGAAGTTTAAGTAAATAAGCATTTATAAATCACTTACCATGTGTCATCCACTGTCATAGGTGCTAGGGTACAAAAACAAAAAGAAGATGGTCCCTGCCCTCAAGAAGCTTATATTCTACCAAAACAGTAGAAATAGAAACACATGATGCTCCTAAAGAACAAACTACAGGAAAGTTTTTTTTTTAGTTATTATTCTTCAGTTCTCTGTATTTGCTTCAGTGCTTAAAAGCTAATTGTTTAATTAAGCAACACTTTACAAAGAAACTGTTAGGCCAAAGGAATGTCTGCTTCACTTTGGATATCTGGTGTGAAATTTAAACTCAGGGAATTTAAACATATTTGAAATTTTTTAATTTAATCCCATTCATTTATTACTACTTGGGGGAGAAGAGGCTTCAATGAATGTTAGCATTTTTTAGAAGTGTAAATCAAACTAAGATAGATATTGGCCTGACAATAAGGAGAAAGGGTTCTAGTCCTGGCTTTGTCACTATGTCACCACAGACAACCTATTTAACCTCTCTGAGCTCAGTTCCCATATTTGTGTAAGAGATTTTGGCTAGATAATCTATAAGATTCTTTCCAGCACTAACTAATATTATTTGATTCTAATGAATTTTCTAATTTTTGCCTGATTGACACATTACATAGGAAATATCTACTCACTGCTCTTGTAAAAGCAAAAAGAGCCATGATGCTTTGAGTTGATAAAAATGGCACAGCTTTGAATAAAAATGCAGAAAATTACGTTCCTCAATTCTTATCCTTTGCCATACATGGCATTACTTATTTACAGTTTGAGAGAGACAGGGAGAGAGAGTTAACAATATGATACATATATGCACATTTATATAGGCAGATATAGTTATAGATCAGATATAGATAGATATATAGATACAGACATATTCCTAAGCATTCCTTTGATCACTGCCTAGAAAATGTCACCAACTTCAAGGATAAATTTCATGTTTCATACAATGCTAGAAATCTGCATAGCCTCTATTTTCATCCTTTGATATTGTAAATGTGACATTTTAGGAAATATCTCCAAAGGAATATCACTTTTTAAAGATCTGAGAATCCATTATTTGACATTATGCTCTCTTTACAAATGACTGCCTATCAAACAGAAGTTGCTTGGAAGAAGGAACAGGAGCCCATGCAACATTTCACAGACATTGGCCTAAATTATTGATGATGCAGGGAGTTTCAGGATCATCTTTTTAAAAAAAAAATGAAAGAAAGACCACAGTTATTTCCTTGTATCAATTCAAATACACACACACACACACACACATCCTAAATTGGATTGCTGAAAAACTGTGCCTAGACATTAAGCGTTTATACACCAAGCATGGAAAATGCTCTTTTCTCTAATTCAACAATTAAGAGAAAATACTCATTCAAATACTCTTATACAACATCTATCTCTGAGGAAACTTATGAGAAGTAAGATTATATTTGATATTACAATATGAAGTCAAGGAGAGTGATTGAGAAAAAGTGGGAGCAATTTTTTATTCAAATAATATATGCATTGAAACTAAGGTTGTAGTATTCCCTATGTAAGTACCTGTAGGATTTTAACAAAATCCTGCCTCATTTTCCACATCTGTCAAATGAGGATAATATCTCCAGTCTTATAGTATATATCCTACCAAGTTTCTACTAGTACCCAAAGGAAGAAGGAAGAGGAAGAGGAGGAGGAGTAGAAGAAGAAGAAGCTGCAAGTCTGCTTTGAAAAGCTAAAAGCTCTAGCTGTACAACAGTAAAAAAGGAAAGGAAGTATAGAAAAGCTTAAACACATATTATCTTTTCATGCACCTTTTACATTACAATTACTCATGTATATTACATCTTGGTGTCTTATACTCTCCCCTCTCCTATAGCTTTTCATCTCCTGTTTTAGTCCCAGTAATAAAATTAATGCTAACATAAGTTCTGAAAAAGATTGTTAATCAACTGCCCTATGGATCAGCTTTTGATCTGTCCCTGTGACTACTCACACTGAGACTTTCTTTCCAGGTCACCTCTAAACATATTGTTTTATTTTCTAATAGACTGCAAGAACTTTGAGGAAGATAATGTCTCAATTTTTGTAGTACTTGACTATAATAAGCAGTTGATGTTGGATTTTTATTAAATTAAATATTTCATTCATTCATCATCTACTAGAATGTAAGCTTCATGAGAACAAGGATCATGTCTTTATTCATTCCCTCAGAAAAAAATTCAGTGGCCTATCATGAATGTTTACTACAGAGTACAGTGGGCCCAGCAGGAAGCAGAAGCTCAAAAAATAAGGGTCCTTACCATTTTGGAGCTTGGAGTAAAGCACAAACTCACATACAAACACACACATGCACACAAAAAAATAAAGTGTTCCTTCTTGTTTTCTGTACAGCATTTGTAATTATGTTGCATGACTGCAAATTATGGAATACTACAATCTTTAAAGAATTTGCAAATCATACATAAAGCAATTTAAAATCACATTATATGATCGAGAAAACTACAACATATTGCAAATAAGCAAAAACACAGAAGAAGCAGTGGTAAAGGACTTTATCATAGAAATGTGTGAATGGGGGAAAATAAAATTTAGACCCTATTGATTGGGGAATGGCTAAATAAAGTTTAGTACATGAATGTAATGGAATATTATTTTGCAGTAAGAAATAATGAATATGATAAATCCAGAGTAGCACAGGGATAATTATATTAAGTGATGCCAAATGAAGTCAGTAGGATGAGGAAAACAATATACACGATGACTACAACATTTTACAATGTAAAAGGAAACAACAATAACAATAATAAAACTGAAATGTGATACTTCAAAATTCTAATGGTGAGATTGATCCCCAAAGAAGATGCATGGGAAGGCAACATTTGCTTCATAGAACTGTATAACTATGACTATGGAACAGTGTGTATATATATACATATATATACCTATATATATGACTTCTTTCAATATTGTTTAGTTTATCTGAACTACTTCCTTTCCTGCCCGCTTTGTTGTTTTTGTGCTCAATTACAAGGGACACCTATCTGGGGGGATTTGAATATAATTGGAATATAATAGAAAATAAAATGGGAAATTCAGGTTATATGAAAATGAAAGATACCAATAAATATTTTAATAGTTATTCATATTTTATCTGGGAACACAGATACCTTATAGAGAGTGCAGGGGATAACTGCTGGACAGTCTATGTGCTATACTGATACTTGTCCGATATTAAGAGGATGCCAAAAAGGCCTCCAAAATAGTCAGTGAACATGTTCTGATAATTTTGTTATCAGAAGGACATGAGGAAAACTGTCTCAGTAAATAAAGGCATAGATGGCTTGTGCTCTTCTATATTAGAAGGACCCACATCACTAAGATCATAGTTCCATTAGGCAATGGCACGTACTTCTCCATGTCTAGCACAGTATTCTGCCCATAGTAGACAGGTAATAAATTCTTTTTGAACTGAATCTGAAAGTATGTTAGTTTTTTTTCTGTAAAGCCTTAGAAATACCTTTTCCCTTGATATTTATTTTTTGGCTTAACAATAACCTTATCCAGAAGCACATAGATAACCTAAATACTGACTAATAATGTAAATCAAGAAGGAAGAATTTTTTTTCCCTCAAAAAGTCTGGGGTATATAAAAATGCACGACTGGTTTAATAGGGTTAACTTCAAAGAGGACTGGCCTGGAATTGAGATGACCTAGATTTTAGTCTCAGACTGTCAATAGCATTAAGACTTTTACAAATCTGAATCTCTCAGTTCCTCCTTTTACTTACCAGTGAAATAAGTAGATTTGGAAAATATGACTAAGATCTCTCCTAGACAAAGGAGTCTTTAACTATGAATATCTCACAATAGTGTGAATGTAGAGTGGACGGAGGCATACCTACGTAGGGTGTACTGATGCATCACACCACAGTAAGGTTTTATTTGGCTACTTAAATTAGCCACAGATTCTCACAGTGAGAAACAGTAAAGAGAACACAATGCTTGCCTTTATCTTTCTACTCTCTCTTTTCCTCTACCTTCAAATAAAATAAACTAATTATGATAAAAATAATGAAATAGTTAACATGCATAGTGCTTAAAAGTTTTCAATGTGTTTTAAATACATTATTTCATTTGATCCTGAGAAGACTGCAAGTAGGTGCTATATTATCCTCATTTTGCAGATGAAGAATTAAGAATCAGAGAAATATAGGGAAACTGATCACAGATTTCAAGCTGTATCTCTCTATGTACATCCTGAGGTACTTCAAGAACTTTCCGATCTATATTACAACATTACATTAATC